TTCCTCATATAAAATTACAGAATGCACCATCAACTAACATAATAAAATACAATAGTACCTTAAAATCCACTTTGAAATACATCCAACTCAGTATATATTCTAATTGGATGAGAAAATTTGTATTTGGTATGACACATTTGTTTAGAATACGAACTCAAGTCTGGAGAGTCATGACTGCATGTTATGCTTGTTTATTTCTTTGAGACAATGCTACAACTGCCCATAAATATCAGCATGTCTGTCGCTTCTATTCAGTAAATAACTTGCACTATAACTCTGAATTTTCATGCAATTTTGTGTTTTGTCATGTAACTTTTTTTGTAAATGCATTAACAATGAGTTTTCAAAAAGTTAAGGAAAAAATCCAAGCAGTGAAGGACGTTGTTAGGATCGCCATGGAGTAGAAAAAAAAAGAGATTGTTGAAAAGTATGAATAATCAGTTAATATTATGAAGGGGATGAAATTGATGACTAAAGATCAGAGACATTACCACATGTTGAAAAACTGCTTTTAAACTAGATAGCAGAGAAACATACTTGTACAGTAAGTATTATGTGCAGTGTTTCATTTATATACAATATATATTTCATCCACTACATTTGTATTTTAGCTATTAAACAGTGTTATAATAATTTGATTTTTTATACGAATAGATTAATTATTTTCTCTCTATTTCTTATTGGAAAAGTTTGATACGTATCCAAGGATCTGGAAGGAATTAATAATGTATACTGTAGTACTTTTGTACTTTATAATTACATGATAATTTACCTAAAAAATCTCTTAAGTTTTAGTTTAATACACATTTGATTAAAATTCCTCTCAAGGACAAAAAGAAGTAAGTAGAACACCAGAATTTCACCACTGGTTGTACAATTACAGTCCTACCTCACTAACTACACACTTCCATCACAGTTTTGATTGAAAGCATCCTGGGGAATAAATAGATCCAAGGGTATCTTACCCTCTTCCTTATGCTAAATCACTCAAAAGGACTCAGTAAAGGACTCGGAATTGTCTGTACAGCATGAAAGTACTTAAAATACTTAATTGACAAGCTAAGTCACTCAAAAGGACTCAGCTTGTCAATATTTTAAGTACCTTTATGTCGCACAGATACTATATCCTTACAAACAATGCCTGCTCCGAGATTTAAATCCAGGTCCACTAACAGAATAGTCACTGTTGTTAACCACTATATCAAGCACAATGAGTTTCTTTGAATAAAGCTCCCAATCCAATGAAATTAACAATTTTATATGACTCAGCCCTCATTAAAAGTTGTTCTTTTTCATGTTATACTCATATGCATAGCTGGCAACCTTGAAATCCAAATAAATAGGAAAGTTTAGTGGCCAAAACTAGAACTTTCCAAGAGGTCTTTGCATTGCTAGATTCAACCATCTCAAAAGAACTCCAGTGAGACTTACATTTCATTTATAATGTATATTTGAGGTTGTTCATTTAGTTATTATGCGATTCTGTCATAAAATATCTTCTAAATTTTATGTTATTTGGCTCATTTAATTTTGTAGTTTTCTTTGAATTTCAGACTAAGCAAATCCTGAGTATGAAAGAAAAGCTTTAATTTATCAAAGAACTTTTAAACATGATGAAAGTAAAATTAATGGTTGATCTTTAGATTATGGTAACTTGGCGATTTTTTGGCGAAAATTTGGCGACAAACTCTCCTACAGCAACCTCTATTTTTTTTTTCCCACCGCCATTTTGTCTTCACGCAGTAAAGACATGTTTCTTTTCTTTTTATCTACTGAACACTTCTTCCAACAATCTACTAGCCGAATTACACTTATGCTAGAAATTTTATCTAACCAAAACTGCTTAATCATGACAAATATTCACTTCAAAATTGGAAAAAAGTGCACAATACCATACTCCTTACGCGTTTTTCAAAATAACACATACACAATAACCATGTACACGTCGACTTATTTTTACTTAAAAAAAAACATCCCAGAATTACACAAAAATGGCATTGCGCACACTCTTCACTATATCCATGTACACTGCTTTTTTCTCATAAATTAGAAAAATTTCACGAAAATACATGACAATTTTCTGAATCTTTAAACCCGGTGAAAAGAACATATATGAAATTACCTTATCGCGAAAAAGTATATACCCTTTCCAAATATGAACATTTCCACGTATAAAATAAATAAAATATCTAAAAACTTTTACCTCTAAATTATCTATTATGTTATAAACGTCACCAACGAATTCATACCGCAAACATTACAAATACTTAGTGTCAAATATTTAAATTATTTCCATGCACGTTTACTTCAGCTAAAACGTATACCAAATTCCTACAAACATAAAATTCACAAGATAACTATCATTTAATTAAAATATCACTAACCATGTACACGTCAACTTATTTTTACTTAAAAAAACATCCCAGAACTGCACAAAAATGGCATAGCGCACTCTCTTCACTATATCCATGTACACTGCTTTTTTCTCATAAATTAGAAAAATTTCACGAAAATGCATGAAAATACTCAACGTATACTACTCAAATATATTCCAAAATACTACAAACATATAACTCATAATATCACGATCATTAAATTAAAATATAATTAAATTAAAAAACACTAGTTAAAATATAAATAAGCACATACATTAAATTAATAAAAATTAGATTACAATCCTAATTACTTTAAACTAAATCATTGCTAATAACAATTTTCAAATAATACCATTTTAATTTATTTACTCCTTACATTTAGAACAATGCATAAAAATAAATATCCTCAAATGATTAAAAATACTAACTTACCTAATCTTCTTCAGAATCTTCATTACGTCGCTGCAGTACTACTGCTAATTTCTAAATCCTAAATCCAGTAGTCAACTAGAAGTCTATTCACCAAGTAATAAGAAATTAATAAAATTTCACCTATACTCAAACTACTTTCAGCAAACTAAGTACCCTTTCTTACACTCCTTTTCACAAAATGTCCATTTTCACCATATTTCTTGCACCGCCATTTAAACTTGTAATATCCTTCCTTTCACACAATCTCAACTTATTATTTATTATCAGATAAACGCATTAAAAATTTAGAATTCACTTTACAAAGCGCCATGCAATCTGAAAATTAATCAACACTATTTCACACAACACACGATGAAGCTTTTCCAAATTAACCCCCTTTTCCAATTAAAGAACTGTAATTCTTCCTTAATGTCACGTTTCACACAACACAGAATATAGCTAAATACGAAATTTCCAGATTTCCCCCCCTTTTCCGATTAAACAACTGTAATTCGTCCATTAATGTCTCATGATCTCTCATTTCCCTCACACAAAATAATGCGTAATCGGAACTGAGTGCTTCTCACATTATTACCAAAGTCCTAGGTAGTAACCTTTATCGCCTCCAAAATGTCGCCAAACTACCAGTTACCATATTCTAAAAATTAGCCAAATTGGTATACATAGTACTGTACGGATAAACATAGTAATATTCCATAAACTGGTGTAATACAAAATATTTAATTATAAAGATTCATTAAATATTCATATAAAGTCTGACAAATGTCTATAAATTAAGACAGTTCAGTTCAAACAGAATTTAGTAAGAAAAATTACACTGAAAATCACTTAGGGTGGGAGAATGGAAGTTGAATAAATTTCATTAATTCCATAAATTCCATTTGCTGCTGAAAAACACTTTTTCTTATTAAAAGCTAAAAACCAGGACATTTGGTGATGCACTTAGAGACTAGGAGATATGACGGAATAGCCAAGAGTGACATTTGAATATTTCAAAGCTCACAAGGGCTATTCATTAAGAACAGCTTCTTAGAGGATTTTCTAAAGAAAACTGACTTATATTCACATTACACATGTGAAAAACCACAAAAAAAAAAAAAAAAAAAAAAAAAAAAAAAAAAACAGCCATCCAGCAAACTTGTTCACTTGGAATCGAACTACCACTATTCAGAGATCTTAACTCCTCAGCCATTGGTGGGGCATGTCCCAGTAAAACTGGGAGAATTAGCAGCTATGCATGTGAAAATTTAATATTCAAAGATGTTGAATAAACAGAAGAATGAACATTTTTTTTGAAATATTATATTTATTAAAAGGAGATGGGGAAACAATTTATAATAATAGGAGGAGGGGACAGTTAAAATAACATAGACAACATTATGTCTAAATTTAGAATGTATTCTCATTAATCAGCAGACACTGGCAATATCCTCTACAAAAAGATAACTGATCTACACCAGCTTTAGCACACTTAATTACAGAATTCTAAATCCATCAATAATTTAAAATAAAACTTTTTGCACTGCTTTGAATTATTTAAAAGTGCAGGATATTAGAAACAGATACATTTGTTGAAGGCAAATTATGATTAATGGACTTTCTGAATCATGAATATTTCTCAAGTTCGCTGTTTTGCAGTTAAAGAAACTTAAACATTTTGAAATAAAAGTTATTTACAGCACGAAAACTTAGTAGCGGTAAAAACATAAAAAAAACTAGTTTCTACATAGTAAAAAAAAAGCGTTATTTCGTGATTGCATTTATTCGTGAAGAAAAGAGAAAAAAAAAAAAAAAAATCTTTTAATGATGTATATTACCGATTGCAAAAGCTACTGTATGAATAAAAATTCTCATGATAAACAGGAGATAGCAGCAAAAACAAAACAAAATTTAAATTGCAATCCGAATGACTAATCCAACAATTATGACTTCTCGTTAAAAATAAATAAATATTTCCTTCGAATATAGGAAAGCAGTATTCTAAGCATCAACTTGCTATCAAATACTAATTCAGAAGTCAAACAACAAAAATCAGCGTTAATAATTTGCTATCAAATATTTAAAATTTACATCATCATGCTACAAGCAAATGTTTCTAAAATTTAATTCTTCGTAAGTCTCCACCTAATAGCTTAGTTTTGAAATTCACACGAAAAGTAGTAGGGCATAAAAAATAAACAAAACATAGCTTACAGTTACACCATAACGAAGTGCGAGGCCTTGTAATGTATCACCCGGCTGTACAATGTGTTTTATATACCGTTCATTCTTTAGTCCACTTTCTTTATTCATACTTCCATACCTAACATGCTTTTTAGCATAACTACTTAGAGATATCTTTTCCGTCTGCTCTGAAACCGCCGCCATGTTTCCCCCATACCATTACACGTTGCCAAGTATGACTTGTAAATTATGTCCATTGAAAAAAAAAAAAAAAAAGGTGTGCTTGCCATCTAGTTTTTGAAGAAATCACATAATATGCTACATATATAAATTTTAAATATATATATTTATATATTTAAATGAAATGATATATCGGGTTGTAACAAAAGTTTCCTGCCACCGCAAATACCATCTGCGGAAACAGTTCGCGTTGGTGTGTTGAATAATATTTTGCCAAAAACAATTTTTGGCATTTGAAAGAAACAGACTTCCGTTAGAACACTGTGTTGTGAATTTGAAAAAAAAATACCGCTATTATCAGGAATAAGGTATCTGAAACGGAACTATCACGCTACCAGATTAGAACCATCAGGTACTTCCAGTTCTGTCCCAAAAAATCAGCTACAGAATGTCACTAAATCATGTATACAGCCAAATCATATATACAGTCATAAGCATGTATATAGGTACCTAAGTTGTGCCATATGAAAGTTTGGTGGAGAAAGTGCAAAAACAAGGACTGTGACTTTCAAGAAGCAGAGCGCTTTAGCCGGCTAACCTTCAAGTGTTTGAGGAAGAAGTTCAGTATGCAACCACACAAGAGCTTGCTAAAGAGTTAGATGTTAATGCCTTGTCCATTAGTCGCTCTGTGTATAGCATAAACTTGATGTACAAATTCAATCGCTGTGTGCCACAGGAGCTGACTCAAGCTCGAATATTAACGCAAGGACAAATTTCTGGACTGGATCGTCACTTGTGATCAAAAATGTATTTACTTCAACAACACGGGACGAAAAGGGGGTTGGTCTGCGCCCGGTGGGTCCGTCGGCTTGGTCACAAAGAGTAATTTCACTAACAAAAAGATCATGATTTGTATCTGGTGGAATTACCATAAGTAATATGGTGAAAAAAGTAAAATCCTCGACAGTAAGGTTTATAGCGAGATGCTAGTCCTTGTTGACGTAGCTAAAAAGGAAAAGCGTTGAACTGAGTTCCGGCGCTATAAAATAATGTTCGATCAAGATAATGCAAGACCACACTTGTCTACATTCACCGGCTAGATTTTGTACGAACTCGAATGGGACCTTTTGCCACACGCACCATATAACCCTGACATCCTTCCTTCGTACTATTACTTTTTCCCCACCTGCAGCTACATCTTGCTGGTGCTATCTTCCATTCTGCACAGGACGTCCGAAATGAGGTTGATCTGCTTTTAAACTGGCGGCCACCAAGTTTCTGGGCAAAAGAACTACCAAAACGTTGGCAGAAAATTATAGATTTGGGCAGTGGTTACTACCCGCACTAAAGTTACTACTTTCATGTTTTTTTTTTTACTTTATTAAGAACGATTCTTAGCGGAAAACTTTCGTGACAACAGGGTATATATGTGAGAAAAAGAAAAGAATGTGTAAAAGGTATATTACGATTTAAATTTGCAGTGTAAATATTTCTCCTTCTATCTTCTAAAAATGGTAAGCTCTCTTTCACTGTGTTGTGTAGAATTGTTATGTATTATTTTACAGTGTTTAGTGAATATATTAACTTACAGTGAATAGTGAAATTATAATATTAATATCTTAGAAATTAAATTTTAATATAGTAGTGTGTAAACTTTCGTTTGAATACGGTAAAGCTCTTATTAAGCTAGCGGAAAGTTTTGTTCAGCTATAAGGCGAGTTTTTCCGTTCCCACAGAGTGACCACTTTGGGTCAAAAGACGACGGGCAGCTGCCTTTTCCTTCCCTTTTGGGGATGAACATGTGGTTTGCTGGTTTGGAGGCGAAACTTTCTTTCGGGCGTCGCTACTTGACAAAATTATGGTTGAAAGCATTCCTTGTTGTTTGCGCGCGAAAAGGTATGTCACTTTACGGAGAGAAGTCTAATTTTCATCGAATTTTGGAAGTTAATTATTGTCTTTGTTCTAGCTGGTTAGGGAGAGTTCAAGTTTTGCGTTGAATTGGATAGATATAATTTTATAGATATTTTGAGCTAATAGTGAAATTAGAGGCGGTTGGTATTTTGAGCGCCACCGAAGTTTTAAAAATGGTTTCACGAGAGACAGGGGCAGACTTTTAGCAGGTTTTTCACCTTTGAAAATTTACAATTAGAAGAGAGGAGTGCATAAGTGTTCGAACATAGCCCGGCTGTCTTTGGGGCCGACCGCGGTTTGCGAGCTCAGTTTTCCAGCGACCAAAGAATGGGGTATCGCGCTAGGAGAGAAAATTTCTTGTTTGTTTGAAACGCCGAAAAACAATAGCAGCGTTCTCTCTGACGATTTTGCGAACTAAGGGCATTCAGTTATAACTTTGTAAACATCTTAAAGACGATCATTTCTTCTAGATTCTTGAAGGCGGTATTTCCCATATGCAAATTTCCCATGAGAGAAAAGCTCGGAACATCACCAGCTAAGATGCCACTGAAGAAAGGAAAGAACGATCATTTCTTCTACAGTTTTACCTCGAGGAATGAATGATCAGCCCAAGCGTCTATGACCCTTTTTATTTAGATCTGGAAACCACAGTTCCGAGCGGGCGGGATCTTTCAGTCTCATTTACGGGTTCTTGTATTCTGAAATCTGTGAGTGATTTATTTTCATTTGATTTTTCTTTAATAATTAATTACTAGGATTTTGGAATGCTAATTTCTAAAGCTTGAGTAGTCATTTTAATGTTAGATGAAAATCTGAAATGTTGCTGGTTACTTAATTAATAACTGAGAAGGTGAGTTTTAGAACGTTTAATTCATATAATTTAAATTAACTATATAGATGACGGAAAATCTTAATGTTTCATAATAGAAAATATCACTAATTTAATGTATATCGAATATTATATCAAGTAATTTAATTAATTACTAAATATCAAAAGATAAATTATTGATGGGTTACTGGTGAAGGAATTTGTATGTTCCTCAAGTTTAGCTTTAAATGGGAGTAAAATGTATTAAAGTTAGCTTTAAATGTGAGTATCGTATTTTAAAGAATGTAATAATTGTAAGGTGGTTTAATTATGTTTTTGTAGGATTTGAAAAATATTAAAAAGAGAGATTGTTTGAAACTACATGAGCTTTGTTCAGTGAGAATTATGCAATTATTGTAAAGTACATTACTAAATATTTCGGAAGTATGTTGATCGTGTTCAGAATGCCAAATGTAAAATTGTGAGTAATTTTTAGATAATGTTTTGTAGGGGTAGTCTGGCCAGCTATTTAAAGATTTCACGACCAAAAAAATTTAATAAATGTTTTTATTGATTTATTATTAAATATTTGAGTTTTTTCTAGTGGTCTACTGTAGGTCACCTATATGATCCTTACGGAAAATATAGTTATTTATTATTATTATTATTATTATTATTGACCCTGGGTAACTTAGCGCGAAGAAGAAAATTAATTTGAAGTGTGTTGTAACTATACTATCGGATTAATTAGTTTTTCTGAACTGGTGCTTTGACTTCTTACTTGTGAGATATATCTTTCCTTGGGGTTTTGAAGCGTTCCGTGTTACATTTAAATCAAAAGTGTTCGTGGCTATCTCTAGAGTTGTACTGAAATTTATGTGTTTTCAAGAAAGTCACTGGATTTAGTTTTATTTTATTAAGAGATAGCATTTTTGATGAATTTGATGCTGAAATGCATTTTCTCATTTTGGCATTTTGCTGGGTAAATGATTTTTTTTTATATTTGTTACACCAAAACTCCAGAGAGGATACATCTTTTCATTATTGACTTTCTTTAATAATGAAATAATTGTCTTTTCATTATTGAGGAGGTTCAAATATTTTTAGGAGAGTTTTTGTGTTTTTTTTTTTTTCCCTTTGTCCGGAAAGAGAAAGAGAGAGAAGTTAAGGAGTAAGTCAGATAGTTTAAAATTAAAATAATATTAATAAGTTTAAACGTAATAACTGCACCATTTCGAGACTAATCCATTTTACATGATTCTTATGATGTAAATGGAACTAAAACTCAGCTAATAAAAATTTTACAGCAGTATTAATTATCCAATCAAACTGCATTAAGAACCAAAACTAACTCAGTCTGAATTAAGATTTCATCCTGAAAAAAAAAATGCTCTCTCTTGCTACTCTTCGGACAAGCTGGACTACTGTCTGTTGCTTCCTTCTTACTGCAAAGTGTCAAAAATGAACGTAAACATTTTGAAATAGGCAGAAATAGTGTGCTAAATTGTTTGTGGCTGCAGCATGTTTACTGAAATAAAATGAAGATTAGAAGCCTCGGCTGTCAGTTTCCTCTTCATTACGGATTCAACCTTCTAAAGTTCTACACCATTAATATTGAAAAGTCCTTTTTCATTACATACACACACACACACACACACACACACACAAGCATATATATGTATATATCGTTTATTATAGCTTTTATAAAAAGTTCACTTAAATTCGTTGTCAATAAATTGTGTTGCTTTTCACACACACACAAACATATATCTGTATATATCATTTATCAAGCAAAGTAGTAATTGTAATTTTATATCTGTATATATCATTATATCTGTATATATCATTTATCAAGCAAAGTAGTAATGTATATATCATTTATTATAGCTTTTATAAAAATTTCAGTTAAAGTCATTGTCAATAAATTGTGTTGCTTTTCACACACACAAACATATATATGTATACATAATTTATATAGCTTTTATAAAAATTCCTCTTAAATTCATTGTTAATAAATTGTGTTGTTTTTGTACAGCTTTGACAGAAAGCGATAATAAAATAGGAGCATTTAAATACAGATAAGAAAATTCTAAAGAAGCATTTTAAAAATTTCAATACGTTCGACTAAGGCATCTTGCACATCCTCTCCTCTTTTTTTTTTTTTTTCTTTCTTTCTTTCTTTCTTAATGCAGTGCGTCGCATTGATTTTTCAGTTTCACAGTGTAAGATATTTGTTACCTTCAAATACGTTGAAAAACGTTTCATTGTTTTCGCTACCCAAATATCGTGTGTGAG